TGTCTCGATGATGTCCGCATCAACTGTCGACTCTGTCTATATTAATAGAGAGATAGATGGCATTATGAATGCTTATTGTCTCGGCACTATTCTCAAATTTGTATTAAATATCTGTTCTCTAAAATTTGTTTTGCAGCAACAGGCATTTTGTTTTGGATTTGTGGAATTTGAGGGAGTTAATGCTGCCCAAAATGCTATTGAGGTATGTGGTATTTTGTTCTGTAACATACATTCTTGAGTGCATATGAGGTTAATTTGGTTTTTTAAATTATTATTATTGGTATTGTTATTGTTATTGTTATTGTTGTGTTTGTGTTTGTGTTTGTGTTTGTCATGGTTTCTTGGCCAAAATGAAATTGTGGCAGGGGAATAAAGTTATGAACACATAATTTTTATCATACATAGATCATAGATGATGATCCTAGTACTCTAGGAACTCTAGAGCAAAAAGGAAAACACCAAAATCAAATTTTAATAAGCATATCCGAACATGGACTATTGACGGACTGTGTGCCTAATTTATTCATTATTATGACCCTTACATATATATAAATACTTGCTGGCATTGGTTCCTTGTACAACAGTACTTAGCTGTCACCAGCATGTTCTAATAGAGTTTGGCATGATATCTAATGGTGCAAAGAAGACGACTCTATTTTGGGTGGATGACTTTCATTGTGGAACTTGTTCCGGATAAATGATTTCAGGAAAAGAACAAGTTCACCTGCTGAAGAGTTAAAGTTGCACGTGATCCTTCCTCACTCCAGTTCCTTCTCATTTTTCTTCTATTGAAAAAGAAGTGGGTTGAGTGGCTGATGCTTTTAACGTGTTTGTTATTGCACTGTTATATCATTAACTCGGCTTAATCTCCATGATCCGTTCGACATTTTGATCATTTCAGTTATATGCCCCATATCAATTGATGTTTCAGGCTTCTCCTCTTGCAATTGGTGGCTGTCGGGCCATTGTTGAGGAAAACAAGTCTACCAATTCTCAAGGCAAGTGGCCTTTATTGATGTTTAACTAGTTTGGAATAAAAATTTGAAATCTATGCTTATATCCGAATCTGAGAAAGATATAAAAAGATAACCTTAGCATGATGTGTGTAGTTTAATATTGTTTTTGCTTGCCTACTGAGCTTGGAAAAAGCTTGTATGTTTCTCATTTATTCTATTTTATGGAAACTGTGGAAATAAATAGGTTGGTTCCTATTTTGAAACTGGAAATAATAAAATGCTTGTTATCTCCTAAGATTAGAGGGGTGTGCTTTATTTTCCTCTACGGTTAGCGAGATGGCCTGTGAAGATAGTGCTAGATTTGTTCTAGCAGTATTTATTTATGTACTTTGAATTTTTAACTACTGTGAGATTAAACTGTGTGCGGGGAATATTTCATTTCAAAAGCTGCAGGTAACACAAGGGGGAGGTTCCAATCTGGAAGAGGTACTGGATTCAGAAACGAGGGAGTGAGAGGACGCGGGAGCTAGGGAGGTAGCAGAGGTTATGGTGGTGATTTTAATGCCAGGAATGAGTTCGGATATCGAGGTGGTATTTGGGGAGGAGTGATGGATATCAGGGGGCTGACAACATCAATGGCAATGTTAGCTGCATGAGCCGTGCTGGTGGAATGGCCAGTGGGCTGCAAAAACAGTGACACCTCGGGTTGCTGGTACTGCTTGAGACGATAGTTAAAGAAGGGGCAAGTGGTTTTTGTAGGCTTTTCCTTTTAAATTTGGTAGATTTTAAGTGATTGGACATCCAGAGGGTAGACAGTTTCGTCGACTGAATTTTTTATAGGGTTTACAATTTTCTTTATTTGGTAGAGTATTAATATAGGTTTTCTTTGTTATATACTGGTGCAATTTGATGTCCCAGAGTCGTAATTCTTCCTACTTTTTGTATAGTTGAAACATTTTTTGGCCCTTTATTCCATATCCATTCTTGGAATATGGGGGAACAGCCAATCACACTGCTTTATTATTTTATTTGATTAGTTCAAGTGCTGAGGGGTGAATTTACTAGTTTCTCCAGATGCTGATCATATTAACTAAGGCCCAGCAAAATGGCCATGTAACTGTGGTTGGTTAAAGGGATAAATATGTTACTTGCATCATTTGAGTAGTTTGAAATGTACAACAATGGCTGAGCAAGTAGTGACCAATTGCATAGATACGAGTACTATTAAGTGTGTGTTTGTCTCCCATTATTGTAGAAGAAATTGAGTAATAAATAATATTTTTTGGAGAATGTGTCGTTGAAATTTAAAATAACTTTATTAGTTTCTATGTGGAATATTTTATTGGATGAATGTGCAGTGAAGAATCTAACTGTAGCAAACAATGTTTTGGAATAATGGGAGACAAACGGTGTCTAAATTTGTATAATATATGTTCTTGGTGCTGCCATCATCCTAATTTTCCATATCTTCCCCTCTTTTTTTCACTCTGCTTTTCTATTACTCGCTGCAAAACTTCAACCAAAAGAATTTTTTGGGCATTTTGAATCATATCAACTCTTTGTCCTATTCTGGCATTTTTCATTTTCGGGATTTTAGTCCTGATTAGGAAATAGTAAATTTATCGTCTTGCACGCAATCATTTATTCGAAAGGTTGCAGTTCGAATCAAACTGTAGGATTATAAGGTGAAAGGGGCAACTATTTTAAGGACACGGTCAGTCCCGACTGCTATTTTGACAATTCTGCAACTATGATAAAAGAGAGGGAAAAAAAAATACAGAACCTTTTTGAAATTTGTTACATATTGTAACTATGCTAGATCATACCCAAAAGTATGTACAAAATTTTTACCTTCTTTTATTGCATACAATCCGGTGTACCCCATTTTCCCCTTTGATACTATTTAGCGTAATACCCACATCGAACCTACTGTAACATTCTGGGAACCCGAACTTGGATGTAGGCATGGCCTTTGCGACATCCAACAAGACTCTGATTTTGGATGTTTACTACATTTCACTTTTATAGTTCTACACAGACTACATATACATTCGTCCTCAGTTGTTTTTCCATAGATGCTAACTTGTATTTTGACAACTCAAAACTGAAAGCATAGAATAAGTAGAATGCCAAAGCAATCTAAGAGTTAACACTAGTTGACGTGCACATGCAGACGACAAACAACCCTTAGTAATTGCTTTTGATTACAATAGCATTTCACATGCTTCTTCCTTTTGAGAAACCTACTCTTTAGTTACTAATTTTTATGACAGCACCCTAAACCAGTTCTAGTTTGCACCAAATAGACTCATCACAACTATGACATAACTTGTTATATATATTATAAGATTTCAACTGCAACAAGGATTGGTGATTATAATTTCTTAAAACCAAATTTGCAAAAGGTTGAATCTTGTCAAGACTACGAGATTTTGCCTTGGTTAGAAGGGAGCAAGATACCTCTGGTAGCAATGCATATGATGCAAGGGGCCAACCAGAGTTGACTGTCCAATGAATCTCCTATGCATCTACCACAATGCCAACGTTTGAGAGAGAAATGCCGTGACCATAACACACATGGGTCTTCCATTCAAAAATATATACATATTGAATATACTTTTAAATGAAAGAACCCTGTGAATCAAGATCAAGTGACATCACTCTAGGCAAGCATAGGAATAGAGAAAGACTTTCCAAACAGCATGGAGAGAGAAGCAAGTGAAGAGAATATTTTCTATTCAGACCTATGAGCCATACCTTTGTTCCCACAGGGAAATAGAAAATCCAAAGACAACCAAATGGGCTTCTTCACTGCAGTATCATGGTAACAACTTCTTTCTTTATTATGTAGTACAAAACTTATTTCAGTCATTTATGAAAATCAATGCCATTCCCTCATGCAGCCTAAATAAATTCAATAGTTTGCAGTGTTAATAAGACACTTCCTAGAAACAGGAAGTGGTGTAGGATACAATCAAACAATTATAAGAGATGAAGAGAGGAGAGAAATGAAGGGAAAAAGAGAAGAAAGGGGAGAGAATATTGAGAAATTAGGGGAGAAGTATAAATTTTTATTCATATCAAAGTTAAGTGAATTATAATGCATAAGCCTCCTTTATATAGAAATTTCAATAAGTAGGAAACATCTAATAAAATCTATTAAATCAAACAATAATTATGTTTCTCTTAAAATAAGCATCAAAATCGAAAACTAAATTAAAGCCCTATTTGGTGGGGATTAAAATAAATTTTTTTGTAGATTTTGATTAAAGGTAATGAAATATGTGATTAAAAAGTTGTATGTCCCATAAAATGTGTGATTAAAATTAATTATTGACTTTGACTTGAATTAAAATCAAGATTTTAATTTCCAGCAAACAGGGGCTGAATAATATCTCTTCTAAGATTCCTAGCATGAAAATACCTAAGAAATTAGAACTTCCTATGGATATCATATGCAATCGTAGACGGAAATTATATTCCATTTAATCTCTTGCTTTGCAGATAAAATTCAAAGTCAACCTCTCTTGATTCATTCGAGGTTCCCTCAAAGAGACCGTCCAAATAAAGATTCAAAAGTTGACATTTGTTATATCTAACTCAGAGATTCATTCGACTCTCACATCCATCATTACATTAAAGCATTGCTATCTAGTTCTAGGCCTTTTCATGCCTACATGGATCACCGCAGTGATTGAATAAGTTTCTAGCAAATTCAGAAGCAAACTAGAAGGATGGTGATATCGTTAGACACCATACATCAATATGCATCTCATTTATGTCGATCATCAATACTAAATATCAAATAGCTGAAGTTGCTCAATAAAAGTCACATTGTATATAATTTAGCTTTTAGCCACTGATTGCTTATGAACATATATGATCAAATGACATGATTGACCAACAAGTGAATGCTCATGCTTGAAAATAAGTGAGAATACCAAGACATAACTATGAGGACAAAATTTACGTGTAAGAAGCAGGGATAAGCCTCAAAAGTGCCTGCAGAACTAGCTTTGCTTTTCCTGAAAGCACACATTCATAGACCGAAATTGCAGGCCTGCACATACTCGTTTTCGTAGTCAACGTACCTAGTCCAGAGTGGCCGGAACTGAGTTATTGCAATGTCAAGCCATGGCTTCATATTCCCATTGAAGTGTATGACTGAAGCATTGTTAATCTCATCCATGCTTATGCTTGGATTATATCCAAGGCCCAAAACATGCCAGGACTTGTCTAGTGGCTTTGTCGTTGAGTAATATGTAATAAGACCTGGAGGCAATGTCCCTAATTTCCACAGTGTTCGATTCTCATTCTGCACATGATTATGCACACAATATTATACTCACAAGAAATGAAACAGAAAAAAAAATTGAACTAGCTAAATAAATGTGAAACCATAAAAAAAATGCGCAGACACCAGATATTATGGGTGCAGTTTCACAAAAAAAGATTCACAATTACCAAATTCAGCCTACTCCTGAAATAATTTTCCATTAGGAGCAAAACAAATCTAATGGCCCTCAAGTTTATCACATAGTGATCTATGAGAAGTAAGCAGATAAGACTAGATAACTCAAGCAGCTGAAAATGGTTGGGCCACTATGTTGACTGAAGAAGCACTTGTATAACTCACACGGAAACAATAAACAATAAAAACAAATAATCACGGATTTTGTTTGAATGCAATCTCACCAGATTCTGCCAGTAGTGATACTCTTCGGTGCACTTCTCCCTCCTCCAAGCATCCAAATCAAAGAAATTCATGCCATAAGCCCATGCGCATGCCTTGGGACTAAACTTGGCTTTGATCAGAGGGTGAGAGAAATTCATGTACTGTGCATAACGATGAAAAGATCCAAAACATGTCTCCACAGCCCCGTTCACCTTTCCATCCATATCTATCTCCCAAAGCCCCGTCAAATCCCTTTGAACCACTATATCATCATCCAAGAACAGAATCTTATGCAACTTTGGATACATTTCAGGTAAATAGAACCTGAGATGATTCAGAATCGAAAGATATTTTGGATTCCTGAACTTCATATTTGTTGTATCCTTTGTTGCATTCTCAAGCTTATTCTCAAAGTAAAACTTTTGTAAGTTGGCAGACTCGAGCTGTTTAAGCACTGGAACATAAGAAGAATTCAAGAATTTGTAATCCTCCACAGCCTTCACTTCAATATGAGCCCCATAATAATCCCTCATCTTGAACATCACTTGCATAGCCCCAAGATTCATTTTATCTGTTACTACATGAAACACGTGTTTCCATGGCTCTCTCGTGTTTTTCACAGCTGAGTTCACCACAACAGAAGCAGCAATAACATTATCCGAGAAAATTGCATAATGATAAAGCTTTGGGTCCTCCAATTCCATCTTGGGGGGCTTCCCTTCATCTGTATACTTATCAGGATGTGCAATTCGTTCTTCCATCAACCTTAAAGCCAAGCAATGCAAGCTTTTGGGGATTGACTTGGCAGCAATCAGGCTTGAGAAAGCACCCTGTTTTTTCGCTTTCGTCAACTGTTCATTTAATGCAAAGATATTGTCCTTCAGCTTGTGAATCTTCAGCTGATTATCAAAAGATTCTTTTGCCTCGGAAATTACTTGTCGTGTGACTTTAATTTGTGCTTTCACGTCTTTCTCAAACTGTCTCAGCACTGACTCATCAATTGAATTCGTCTCTGCATCAAACAATGCCTGATAAGGAGGTTTCAAGAGCAGATTGGTATAATTACGAGAGAGTTCCGCAAAAATCCTAACAAGCTTTGAATTTTCAAGCTTCAATTTCCGCGCATATGAAGCATAAGCTAACGCTAAACTTCTATGATCCCCTGCTTGTTTCCGAATCTGATCTATCCGAGGCTTTAATGGATCCGATTTCAGTGCCAGAACCGATCTTCGGACTGATCCCGAGCTAAATCCATATGAATCAACAGGAAAACCCTAAAATTACAGAAATAAAAAATCAATATATTTTTTTCATATGCTGAGATTAACATTGAGCGAGACATATAGAGAAATGCGAGGACATGAACGTAACAAGATCAATTAATTCGAAGACAAATTTATAATCATAAATTACAATGTAACGGATAACTAAATCTAGACAGTGCAACTATAACCACATCGACGCATTTATGGGTATAAAGATACCTAAAAAAAAAAAATAAGGACAAATCAGACATATACATACATTCTTCTTACTCTTCAAAAAAAAAAAAGAGTAGACCACATAAAGCGAAATCCATAAATGAAAATGAAACAAAAATAATAAATAGTGCAGATTATACTTACATCATCAGGATTGGAAGAGGAAGTGAAAAGAAATGAGATAGTGAGGAAAAGTGAGACGGCGATTGTGATTGAACCAACGAAGAAACTGAATGTGAATATGGAGCCCCTAACGGAACGCGTAACCCGATCCGATACCGGAATACTGTGGCTCCGACCCGAAATTACAGCCATTTCTTCTCAAAACCGAGTGGGAGTCAGGGACTGGGAACGGGGGAAGGGGACGATCGTCTGCGATAGGAATATCTAATTATATTGCAACTTTTGCATAATTGTGTTGTACGCAGTACGTTGAGACATTAGTGGGAATAATTAAAACAAATAGTAAACCTGTTAAGAGTCCATTAAAAATGGCGAGTTTTGCAGTTGCCGACATAAGCAAACGCGGTGGATTAATTGTGAGTGGACCCATTAACATGGGCTGGAAAGATCAGCTTGGTTAATAATTAAAAGGATTATTCCTATGTGGCTAGGCTCATCTAGCATGATTCTAGTTTAGGGAAATACTATGTGTACATAAGTGTACATATAGGGGTTGACATAATGTGAGTGGGGTGGGACCTTCGCTACAGTATCGTGGGTCTCACCCCAAATCAGCTTGGTTAATAATTAAAAGGATTATTCATGTGTGGCTATGCTCATCTAGCATGATTCTAGTTAAGGGAAGTGCTATGTGTACATAGGTATACATATAGAGGTTGACATAATGTGAGGGTGATGGGACTCTCGCTACAGTATCGTGGGTCTCACCCCACTCACATTATGTCAACTTCTATGTGTACACCTATGTACACATAGATTAATTCTTACAGCAATACGAGATAAAAAAAATAAAAAAATGATGAGGTAATGGCATAAAATTAAAACATTTCTACTAGAAATCTAATTTAGTACCCAAAAAATTAGAAGAATGACTTTGCTCTAAAATTAGACTTGATTCACAACTTGAATTTCTAGACCTCATCTCTATAAATGTTCTAGTTTGCATGTAGAAGGAGAATCTTCATTTCTAACAATAGTAGATGGTTTTCATGAACATTGAAAGAATTTCTATACTATGTCACATGAAAAAACTCAAGCTTTTACACTTCAAATTAGGAATGACAAACACTTTATTAGATGCATTAGATTTGTTGACAATGACAAATACAATAGGTCACGGCTCCTTAGCTAGCTGTACATAGTTATAAATAAAGTCCAGTTGGTTATGTCTAGGTCGCTCAACAATGGACATGATTTATTATCACGGGTTGATTCTAAAAGTCTTGTCTCAAAGCTACTTGTATCTTTTATCTTGAGTCTGATCTCATCGACAGATATTCTTCTTTTTCTTTAGTGAATTATTTGTTGGCCTCGATTTCTAATTCAGCAGCGTGGCAATAGATTCCGACTCCACTTACATATAAGGTTCGTACATACTTGAATAATCTGTTAGACACACGGTTCCTTCATCATAAGTGGGGGTCGTGATCGCAAACACCTTGACGATCAAGTCAATTGCTATAGACATATATTCTATGTGTGGAATGAACAGAAGATATGATACATATGAATGTATATGATACCGGTTCAAGTAGTATTACTTGTAAATGTTACTAGGTGTAAGCTTTTATAGTAGAAGAAAATATGTTACTATTGGATAGATGACACCTAACATCATGATGTGGGTCGATGCGTCAATATATAAGCATTACCTCTGCAGTTCTAGGTCCAAGTGACATTTAATAATTCTAAAAGGTGGCCACCCAAAGACTTATATCTAACATTTGAAAAATGGACTGACAAGTTGATTGAAAGGCATTTGGTGCAGATAGGTCAAAGCAATTAGTCACATGAAAGATCTCATATGGAGGATCTCTTAATTGAGATGAAGCTACGAAAGATGCATTGTGAAATCAAAGACTTTATTGCAACAGAAATAGGCTGCAACAGATCGTGACACCTCTCCTCAGTTTAGAAAAAAGAATCATTTCGACTTTCTCTATTTGATGGTCTCGATTAGGTCAAGTAAGCAGATGGTGTGGAGTGCGGGTCGCAGGTGGCTTCTTGCAGTTTTCTTAACTAGCCCCACATAGCCAATAATAATAGACTTATAGGATGAGGAGTAACGTTTCCCTTCTTAATGACAATTTTATGTTTAATGCGGGCTTGTGATTTTTCTTGCATGCATATTTTTTTAATCCTAAATACTACTACTTACATATTTGGAGCTAAACTTAAATAACACTACCGTATAAGTATGTGAAGTTATTGGTACTAAGCCTATTTCCCAATATCATATTGTCTCTATCTTAAAAAAGAAACAAGTTGATTCTCAACCTTTCATTATATTTACATAATCAGTCATCGACTATAAATACTAATATTTTAAAAAGCGCAAAACGAGACTAGACGGTAATGTCAAATTTTAAACTTTTAAGAGTCTAGCATAAATCGTAGCTAAGCGACAAAATCAAGATTCACGTCTAAGCACGCTTTTTAGATCGTTAAATAAATACTGTTGAAATATATGTTAAATCGTTACACGGTTCTCACACATCCAATTTTATAAAGCTAATTTTTCTTTTTCAACTTCACTCGATGCTCGAAAATTTAAGTGAAGCATGTTTGCATGTGGGCAAATAGTCATGTCAATGAGTCGAGTCGAGCCACGAGCCAAAACTTGAAGAGCTCAAGCAAAAAATGTTCGAACATTTTTTTGCTTGACCCGGGTGCTCGGCGAAAAAATTTCAACTCGAGCCTTAGCGGGTCGAGCC